AAAGTCCTGCCGAGTGCATGGGCGTGAAGGCCTATTGCAGCCTCCAAATGATCTGTGGTGCGACGGTGTCCTCTTTGGCACCTGGGCTGTCAGCACACTCCCCTTCCTCTCCCGACACCAAAGGCTGAAACCAGGGGCACCAAAAAGGAAAGAGAGTGTGCCAAGGGCCAAGGCGGGGACAAGGACATCACCGTGCCACGTACCAGTAAGGCCTTCTTGCGGACCACTCTGAGAATTTCGGGGGGGGGGGGGCTGAAGCCCCTCAAGCCCACCCTCCCCGGCTGCATGCCTGGTCATAGGATAGACCTTCTCAAAGCTGGAGAAAGGAGGAAGTGGTGGTCCCAACGACACCTGGGCAATGCGAAGTATATGTGCGAGTTTCCAATAAAAAGGTCATTTGAGGACGCCATTGATGAATGAAAATAGTGCTTTTAATATCATTTACAGCAAACTTACAGTACATTATATTTCACGTCATCACATAATTTTTGTTTTCTAAACTCTTCTGCAAAATATAAGCTTGCAAAAATACAGAAGGCGGTGCTCAAAATATACTGAGCGCCGCCTCTCTTTCTCTTTTCCTGTTTACTTGTCTCCCCTTCGGTCAGAAGGAGAGGAGGATTGGGTCCTTGTTCCGGAACCCATCTTGCTCCCCATCCCACCCTGAAGAAAAAGAAAACACAAGAATGAAAAAGAACCCAAAATGGAAGTGTCGTTAGATAATCTCCTCAAAGCCCAAACGTTCAAAGTGGAATGTCTTCTCAGCCTTAGAGAAGGGCAAGGGGGAAACCTCCGTTGAATGGATCAGGGTCAGGTCAACAGAAGCCTAAGTTGACTTCAAGGCAATTCAAAACAAGGTGCAAAGAAGAGCTATGACTTGAAAGGACAATGGTCAACGGCGCACAAATAATTGGGGAAGCAACAGGATGCAAATTTTGTGTCCCCTATGAAAAAATAGCCTTGAGGGAATGCAAACCAAGGCAGTATTGCTCCTCTTTCTTGGGAAGGGGCATGCATCTTCCATGCCCTGTGGGTGCATCTACACCAGGAATGGGCAAACTTTCTAATTTGGGGGCTGCATGGTAGCACTCCCCGCTTGGACAAGCTGCTTGGTGGTGGATGGATGGATGGATGGATGGATGGAAGGAAGGAAGGAAGGAAGGAAGGAAGGAAGGAAGGAAGGAAGAGAGGGAAGAGAGGGAAGGAGGGAAGGAGGAAGGAAAGAGGGTAGGAAAAAAGAATGAAAGAGAGGAAGGGAAGAATGGAAGGAGAAAGAGAGAGAGAGGGAACGAGGGAAGGAAGGAAAGACAAAAGGGTAGGAAGGGTGAAAAGTTGGAAGGAAAGGAGGAAGGAAAAAGAGAAGGAATAGATGAAGAGAATCATAAAGTTGGAAGAGACCTCATGGGCCATCCAGTCCAACCCCCTGCAAAGAAGCAGGAAAACACATTCAAAGCACCCCCAACAGATGGCCATCCAGCATCTGTTTAAAAGCCTCCAAATAAGGAGGCTTTTAAACATAGGATGGATGGATGGATGGATGGATGGATGGATGGAAGGAAGGAAGAAGGGAGGGAGAGAGGGAAGATAAAGGAAAGAGAGAAGGAAAGAAAGACAAATGGGAAGGAAAGGAGGAGGGAGGGAGGGGAAAGAGGGAGAGAGGGAGGAAAAGGGGGGACGAAAGGGTGGAAGGATGGAAGGAGAAAGAGAGAAGGAAGGGAGGAAGGGGGAAGGAAAGAGAGAAGGAAGTAAAGACAAAAGGGAGAGAAGGAGGTAAGGACAAAAGGGTGGAAGGGAAGGGAAGGGAAGGGAAGGGAAGGGAAGGAGGGAGGGAGGGAGGGAGGGAGGGAGGGAGGGAGGGAGAGAGGGAAGGAAGGGAGGAAGGAAGGAAGGAAGGAAGGAAGGAAGGGAAGAGAGAAAAGATGAAAGGGTTGAAGAGAAGGAGAAAAAGTGAGGGAAGGAGGAAGGAAAGAGTGAAGGAAGGAAGGACAGGATGATGTGAGAGAGGAGAGCCTGAAAAAAGAGCACAAGGGGCTGCATTCGGCCCCCGAGCCTAGGTTTGCCCATACCTGATCTACACTGTCGAATGAATGCAGTTTGACACCACTTGAACTGCCAGGGCTCAATGCTATGGAATCCTGGGAGTTGTAGTTTTACAAGGTCTTTCGCCTTCTTTACTAGAACTGTTGGGACATCACCAAAAAACAAACCAGAGGGATCCCATCACACTGAGTTGACAGTTCAAGGGGTGTCAAACTGCATTCATTTGATAGTGTGGATGGACCCTGTGTGGTCAATGCAAGGGACGTAAAAACTACAGAACAACCAAACCCAGGCTGTTAGCAAAGGCAAAGCAGGGATAAACCATGCTATTATTTCCAAACAATATAGTATGGCCCTTGTTTCCGAAGGGGATGCGTTGCAAGACTCCCCATGGATACATGGAACTACAAGTTATAGCAAACCCTATATTTTGACTATACGTGGGTCAGAAGCATACCACAGAATCACACTGGAGGAGCTAGAGCATCCCGCAAACACTTCCAGGGGGACTATTTATTTTTTTGGACTCTGGGTAAGTGGAACTGTGGAAAGCGCATCTATGCCGAAGGACATTGCAAGAAGTGCCCCCTTTATCTGCAGGAAGTATGTTCCAAGACCTTCTATGGATGCCTGAAACCATGGACAGCACCAAACCCTCTATAAGTAATAATTCTGGACCACTCGTAAATGGCCTTTCCATTTTCTGCCACATTTACTATGATGTAGTGAGTTATTGGTATCCTTTGGGGTTTGGCTTCAGGACCTCCTGTGGATAGCAATGTTAATATTCCGGTCCCATGATACATACTGGCAGAGTAAATAGTGCCCTTTGTGCAAAATGCCAAAAATAAGCAGGGAGGAGGTTTTGAATGGTGGATAGCAGAATCCACGGACACAGAATCCATTAATCCAGAGGACGGACTGTATCTAATTCAGACCTGCCTGAAACACAAACACCTCTCTATTGCAAGTAACGTAGAAGAAGCACCTAGATTTGGAAAGCAATAGCACGTGGGAGCGATTCTGTTTATAGTATGACTTAACTGTGAACAGAAGCTGAAATGTAAAGGTGTGTGTGTGCATTTCATGGGAAGTCTAGTGGCAAAGGAAGACCATCATCGCATAGGGCAGCAGTGGGCAACATGGAGACCATAGGTCATGTTGCCCTTAATGAACACCCAAAAACGAACCACCAAATCATTGCCCAGGACCTATAAATGCTCCAGCTTCACCACTTTACTGGTACCACAGAGTTTTTGAGGTTGCCAAACAAATTTGGGAGGTGGCCTCAAAATTAACAGCCACTGCTGGGTTTCGGTGTAATGAAAGAAGCGATTTTGGGATGCCCTTCAGTTAGCCTTCCAAGCTTTGCCATGGGGCTAAGATAGTGCATCCCCACCATTCCTGAGCTTGAGATCGTCTGGACTACAACTGATCCTGCAGACAGAGGGCCAAAGTGTTTGTGCATGCTGGAGTTCATCTCCTCTGAAAAAATGGGGCCATCTTTGGATGGAACCATCAACCAAAAACGGCAGAGACTGTTCCACTGCAAGTGCTCTGGGAGAAGTCCTCTTTTGCTCCTGTGTTGGGTTCTAACTTTTATAAAGTGTTGAAAGCTTTCATGGCCGGAAACACTGGGTTGGTGTGAGTCTTCCGGGCTATATGGCCATGTTCCAGAAGCATTCTCTCCTAATGTTTCACCCACAGCCAGCATGTCAATGACTTAAATCAAGACATAGTTTTCTAAGGAGACACTCGCTGGAACACCCCAGCAAGCGAGAGTCCAAAAGTGGCAGGCTCAAACCCAGAACCTCAATCAATGGCTGATACCAGATTCCCCCCTGGGCACACAGAAAACTGGGCAACTTGGAAGGCGCTGAACAGACTGCGCTCTGGCACCACAAGATGCAAAGCCAACCTTAAGAAATGGGGCTACAAAGTGGAATCCATGGCATGCGAGTGTGGAGAAGAGCACACCACAGACCACCTGCTGCAATGCAACCTGAGCTCTGTTACATGCACAATAGAGGACCTCCTTGCGGCAACACCAGAGGCACTCCAAGTGGCCAGCTACTGGTCAAAGGACATTTAATCAACTACTAAGCTTGCAAACTTTGTGTTTTGTCTGTTTGTCTGTTTTGTTAAAAATGTAATACAAATGTCTGGTTACTCCTGACACGATAAATAAATAAAACCCACATCTATGCAGGTATCATCAGAAGTTGTGAGATCTGTTGGAAACTAGGCAAGTGGGGTTTATATATCTGAGGAATGATGTCCAGGGCCGGAAAAAGAAAGAACTCTTGTCTGTTGGAGGCATGCATCACTGTTGCAATTGGCTCCACTGACTGGCACTGAATGGTTTTGCAGCTTCAAAGCCTTACTTTCTGCCTGGGGACCTGAGAAATTGCAAGTCGCTTCTGGTGTGAGAAAATTGGCCGTCTGCAAGGACGTTGCCCAGGGGACGCCCGGATGATTTGATGTTTTATCATCCTTGTGGGAGGCTTCTCTCATGTCCCCACATGAGGAGCTGGAGCTGATAGAGGGAGCTCATCCACCTCTCCCAGGATTTCGACCTACGACCTGTTGGTCTTCAGTCCTGTCGGCACAGGGGTTTAACCCACTGCACCACCGGGGGCTCCTTGGCCCCATGTAAGCCGCTCCGAGTCCCCACTAGGGAGATGGTGGCGGAGTACAAATAAATATTATTATTATTATTATTATTATTATTATTATTATTATTATTTAGATATATAAACCCCATTTGCCTAGTTTTCAACAGACCTCACAACCCCTGAGGATGCCTGCCATAGAAGTGGGTGAAATATCAGGAGAGAATGCTTCTAGAACATGACCAGACAGCCTGGAAAACTCACTGCAACCCAACTTTTTCAAAGTTTAGAAAGAAAGAGAAAGCTGGCATATATTTCAGTAAAGGCAAGTACATCTCCTAAAAAGGATAAGATTTCATTTCCAAACGAAAAAGGATGGCCAAAATGGCCACCTGGGAAGAGGGATGGACATTGTCCAATGTCCCCGCAAACTGGAATGCTGCATCCAATACGATCCTTCCCATCCCAATGCACATGTATGCATTCATGTCTCACTGCATGCCCTCACCCAACCATAAAAACATAAATATATAATAAAAAGTTGAACATTTGCTTTGGGAATAGGTGCCCTTCTCTTCCCCATCCCAACATTTCCCTGGTCCAAACTATACTGAGAATCTAGGTTTTCTTTCCAAAGTATACAAAAGCTTACATTAGTTAAGAAGGCTGATGTTTCGACCACCTCTCTTCCACTTCTGAAAGTCCTACATCTCTCTTTGTCTTAGACCCGCTTCATTTCTACTACATTTCAAAAGTTTTGCAGAAATATGGGTGCAAAGATCATCCAATACTCCCCTCCCTATCTTCCTGGCATAGTCAGGTACATCCCACTCCCAGTTTCTATACCAAAAATGGAACGGATGCTGGTGCTTTAAGAGCAGTAATGTGATGGAGCTGCTTAGCTTCATCTTCTGGCATTGAGCTGGTGATGATACGGTTGAATTGGCTGAAGGATTTCCCCCTTCCCCAAGGTCACCCCTTTGATATGGTAGAGAGGAGACTGAAAAATGCTGGGACTGAATAGCACCCATGTTTACATCCTTTGAGCTCGTATTGCAAAGGCTACACCCAATAGTGCCGAAAGAGACCTTGTTGGGGAAACCACTCTGTGGCTTCCTTTTGCTCCTTCTCTTTGCCTTTGGGTGGTTTTGCCTTTAGATCCAAGGAGAGAGAGACAGCCGCTCCACTCCTTAAGCCCATGCTGGATCCCAAGATGGGCAGCTTTGCCCATCTCTCTACGATGCTGGCTAACCCATCTGGCACATGTTGGACCTCTATTTCTCATGCCAGGTCTCCAAACAATGATATACATCTTTCAAATCTTGCTAGATCTGCTAGCTAGATCCCTAGCAAAGGGAAAAAAATTGGTCGTTTCTGCGAAACAGTTGTGTCTGTTGTTTTGCTTGTACTTTCCAAAATGTCCGTGTGTATGTATATATATATTACATTTCTCTCTCTTTCGTATATATATATATAATATATCTGTTTTAAAAAGAACCTTTGGGTTAGCCACCCGCCTTTGCAGTCACTACAAAACAGACTCCATGTTTTCGCACCATTCGTGGTCTTCAAGGTTGTAGATAAATTTTGTCCTATGGGCCGGGCTGGAGCCAATGGGGTCCCGTCCCAGGTTGTCCAGGGTCAAGGTGGAGGCAAAGAACTCGCTGGTGCTGAGGCCGCCTTCGTGGTTCTTGATGTACTTCTTATAGTTCTTCCTCAAGCACTGCCAGGTGGTGGTGTACAAGATGAAGGCCAAGGACTTCAGGGTAATGGCAATGCTGACGTACAAGTACCGGTACACGACGTTGTCGTACAGGGCGCACGCGCCTTGCTCTCCGCAGAACGTGCTCCAAAACAGGCAAGTGGAGTCAATCCCGGCTCCAAAGATGAGAGGAGGGGGGATAAAACCTAGGGAAGAAGAAGAGAATGGCTTGAACCAGCTTCAAGAGAAGGGACTTCTGTTTTTAAAAATGCAAAAAGAGCCCGGATGGATTAGACTGGGTTGGTGTAAGTTTTTTTAGGCTGTATGGCCATGGTCCAGTGGCATTCTCTCCTGATGTTTTGCCTGCATCTGTGGCTAATGGCATCTTCAGAGGTCTGCTGGAAATGAGGCAAGTGAAGTGTGTGTGTGTATATATATTGTGTGTGTGTATGTGGTGCATATAACACACACACACACACACACACACACACACACTTCACTTGCCTCATTTCCAGCAGACCTCTGGAATTTGGTGTCAATTCGTCCAGTGGTTTTTGAGTTTTGTTAATCCCACAAACGAACATTATATATATGTGTGTGTGTATTGTGTGTGTGTATATTGTGTGTGTGTATATGTGTGTGCATATATATATATACACACACACACACACATATAATGTTCGTTTGTGGGATTAACAAAACTCAAAAAACACTGGACGAATTGACACCAAATTTGGACACAGGACGTCTAACAACTAAATGTACGTCCTTCACTCAAAAAAATGATTTTGTCATTTGGGAGTTGTAGTTGCTGGGATTTATAGTTCACCTACAATCAAAGAGCATTCTGAACCCCACCAACAATGGAATTGAACCAAACTTGGCACACAGTTCTCCCATGACCAACAGAAAATACTGGAAGGTTTGGTGGGCAGTGTCCTGTGGTTTTGGAGTTGTAGTTCACCTACATCCACAGAGCACTGTGGACTCAAACAATGATGGATCTGGACCAAACTCTACATGAATACTCAATATGCCCAACTGTGAACAGTGGTGGAGTTTGGGGAAAATAGAAACTTGACATTTGGAAGTTGTAGTTGCAGGGATTTATAGTTCACCTACAATCAAAGAGGATTCTGAACCCCACCAATGAATTGGGCCAAACATCCCACACAGAACCCTCATGTGGGCCACAGCAACGCATGGCAGGGGATGGCTAGTATATATATAAAAATGTAATGTTCGTTTGTGGGATTAACTGAACTCAAAACCCACTGGATGAATTGCCACCAAATTTGGCCACAAGACACCTAATAACCCAAGGAGTGACCATCACTAAAAAAAAAAACAAAAAAAAAACAATTTTCTCATTTGGGAGTTGTAGTTGCTGGGATTTATAGTTAACCTACAATCAAAGAGCATTCTGAACTCCACCAGTGATGGAATTGAACCAAATGTGGCACACAGGACTCCCATGATCAACAGAAAATACTAAAGGGGTTTGGTGGACTCAAACAATGATGGGCCTGGACCAAACTTGGCACAAATATTCCATATGCCCAACTAGGAACACCGATGGAGCTTGGGGGAAATAGACCTTGACATTTGGGAGTTGTAGTTACTGGGATTTATAGTTCACCTACAATCAAAGAGCATTCCGAACCCTACGAATGATAGAATTGGGGCAAACTTCCCACACAGAACCCCTATGACTAATAGAAAAAACTTAAGGCCACCCAGTGCAACTCCCTTCACCAGGGGAAGAAAACATAATCAAATACTGTTTACCCACAAGCATCAAGACATTACATATATTAGAAGCCAACACTTTCTCATTAGTTTATTTTCCAGATCACTAGACTGGGCCACAGCAATGCGTGGCAGGGGATGGCTAATATATATAGACATATATATATATATATATATATATATATATATATATATATATATATATGTATGTATATGTATGTATATGTGTGTGTGTGTGTATATATATATATATATATGTATATGTATATGTATATGTATATATATATATATGATGTCCAGGGTAGGAGAAAGCACCCTTGTCTGTTTAAAGCAAATACAAATGTTGCAATTAGCAAATTTGATTAGCATTGAGTAACCATGAAGTCTGTAAAGTCAATCAGTGAGAGTATCCGAATAGAGGTAGCCTGGCTGTTGTTGCCTGGAGGCACCTTCTGGTTTCGAGGTGTTCTGGCACTTGATTATACACTGTGGAATGCTGTCCAATAGGCTTGGTTGATTTAAAAAAATGATTCAAAACTCGTTTCGGATTTAGGGGGTGCTGGTGGTTCGATTCTAAAATCAATACCCATTTTTACAGAAAAAAAATGTTCAAAACTTTTCGAACCTTTTGAGACTTCCGAATCCTTTTGTTAATGGTTTGAAAGAATGGCCTTTACTTTGAAAGTAGTTGTTTTACTCCAGATGTGGGGAAAAGCAAGTGGAGGAAATTCCTTCCTTCTCTGGTTTAAAACTGGCTTCTCTGGCTTGAGTCAAGGCCAGGGACCAGAAGCGGAGAAAAGCTGAATCATTTCCGTCTCACTTCATGAGTCGTAACAAAAATGGCGGAAAAAGCTTCGGAAGGGCAAAGGGATTGCTGGCTTTCTTAAAAACTTCAAAATGGCTTCAAAAAGGTAATTTTTCCAACTTTATTCGGAATTATGAAGATTCCAACGATACCTAACCATGCCTACTGTCCAGGATGGGAGAAAGAACCCTTGTTTGCCTAAAGCAAATGTGAATGTTGCAATTAGCAAGCTTGTTTAGCATTGGGTAACCATACAGTTTGTAAAGTCAATCAGTGAGGGTTTCTGCATAGAGGTAGCCTGGCTGTTGTTGCCTGGGGGCATCCTTTGTTTGGGAGGTGTTAACTGGCCCTTGATTGCTTGTTGTCTGGAGTTTCCCTGTTTCTGAGTGCTGTTCCTTATTTATTGTCTTGATCCTGGTGTTTTTTTTTAAGTGGGTAACCAGATTTTGTTCATTCTCATGGTTTCCTCCTTTCTGTTGACATTCTCCATGTGCTCCTTGTGGATTTCAATGGCTTCTCTGTGTAGTCTGACATGATGGTTGTCAGAGCGGTCCAGCATTTCTGTGTTCTCAAATAATATTCTCTGCCCAAGTTGGTTCTTCAAGAGGACACAAAATATTATTTGAGAAGACAGAAATGCTGGATCACTCTGACAACCATCATATCAGACTACACAGAGAAGTCACTGAAATCCACAAGTACGGGAACAATTTCAGCAAAAACGAGGAAACTTGAAAATGAACAAAATCTGGTCACCAGTATTAACAAACACCAGAATCAAGACAGTAAATAAGAAACACCACTCAGAAACAGGGGAACCCCAGACAACAAACAATCAAGTGCCAGTTAACACCTCCCAAACAGAGGATGCCTCCAGGCAACAACAACGAGGCTACCTCTATGCAGATACCTTCACTTTTTGACTTTGCAAGCTTCATGGCTACTCAATGCTATTCAAGCTTGCTCATGGCAACATTCACACTTTCTTTAAACAGACAAGGGTACTTTCTCCCACCCTGGAGAGCACTCCACAGTGTATATTCAAGTGCCAGTGAACACCTCCCAAATAGAGGATGCCTCCAGACAACAGAGGCGATGCTAACACTACGCAGATAGCATCAATGATTGACTTTACAACTGCAAGGCTACTCACTACTATTCAAGCTTGCTAACTACAACATTCACTTGCTTTAAACAAACAAGGGTTTTTTCTCCCACCCTAGATACTATTCCACAGGTATATATACACTCCACTTGCCTCATTTCCAGCAGTCCTCTGAAGATGCCATTAGCCACAGATGAGGCCAAAACGTCAGAAGAGAATGCCACTGGACCATGGCCATTCAGCCCGAAATCTCACAGCAAACTGTGATTATTATTATTATTATTATTATTATTATTATTATTACTACTACTACTACTACTACTACTACTACTACTATCCGTCCCCTGCCACACATTGCTGTGGCCCCCCTTATGACCCCACCAGGGGTCCCGACCCTTAGGTTGAAAAACACTGAACTAGAGGGATGTCAAGGTATTGGATCCACTTACACTTACCTAACAATCGGAGAAGGAGGAAGAGTACTCCCAATGCGTAAGACTTCAGCTCTGGGCTCACTGTTCTGTACAGGGGAGACATTCATTATTATTATTATTATTATTATTATTATTATTATTATTATTACTATTATTCAAGCAAGAAAAATACATTTGTGGTGGCTTCCCATCTCCTCAAGGAAGTGCCTACATGTCTCAAGCCACCTCTCTCATTAAGCACAAGGAAATAGGTAAGTATACTCTGTCACTCCTTCCCACCTGCTACTAAGGAGGCTGTCCAGGTCCTGAACCGGTGCTTGGCCGCTGTGACGGTCTGGATGAGGGCGAACAAATTGAAATTGAATCCAGACAAGACAGAGGTACTCCTGGTCAGTCACAAGGCCGAACAGGGCATAGGGTTACAGCCTGTGTTGGATGGGGTCGCACTCCCCCTGAAGACGCAGGTTCCAGCTTGGGTGTGATCCTGGACTCATCGCTGAGCCTGGAACCCCAGGTTTTGGCGGTGACCAGGGGAGCATTTGCACAGCTAAAGCTTGTGCGCCAGCTGCGCCCGTACCTTGGGAAGTCTGACTTGGCCACGGTAGTCAGCCGTTTAGACTACTGCAACGCTCTCTACGTGGGGTTGCCTTTGAAGACGGCTCGGAAGCTCCAACTAGTCCAATGCTCGGCAGCCATGATACTAACAGGAGCGGAGCGCAGGGAGCATACAACTCCTCTGCTGCACCAGCTCCACTGGCTGCCGATTTGCTACCGGGCTCAATTCAAAGTGCTGGCGTTGGCCTTTAAAGCCCTAAACGGTTCTGGCCCAAGCTACCTATCCGAACGTATCTCTGCCTATGAATCCACCAGGACTCTAAGATCTTCTGGGGAGGCCCTGCTCTCGATCCCGCCTGCATCGCAAGCACGGCTGGCGGGGACGAGGGACAGGGCCTTCTCTGTGGTGGCCCCTCGGCTGTGGAACGCCCTTCCCATGGACATTAGATCAGCCCCTTCGCTAATGGTGTTTCGAAGAAAACTAAAAACCTGGCTGTTTGAACAGGCGTTAGGATAAATAGTGCAATGAACACGATGAATATAGGAAACGGAATTATGGATGACGAACTGGATCACGATTTTAGTTACGAGATGTTAATGTGTTGTTATTGATGTGTCATTATTTTGTATATTATGCTGTTAATGGTTTTAAATACTGTATGTTGTACGATTGACTTTTTTGCTCTTGTTGTGAACCGCGTTGAGTCGCCTACGGGCTGAGAAACTGCGGTATACAAGCAAAGTAAGTAAGTAAGTAAATAAATAAATATCCCTGGCACTTCTGTTCCAAAGGGACACAAGATAGTTTAAACTGATAGATTTGGGGACTTGGTTGTGTCTCGATGGGGAAAACAAACCTGGAAATTCACAAGGAAGGCAGAGAACATAGAAAGGTGACAGAAACCAGTCTTCCGGCTTCAAGTCAATGTTGTGTTGTACCACTCACCCTGGCCAGGAACTTTGGGTGCTCAGGTGCGTTGCATATGAAAGTAGAGTTTGCTTTTGATCCATATCCACAATGAGAAGATAAAAGAGCATTATAAGCAGAACATTTTGCTCTGAAGTTGGGCACACAGCACCTTCAGATCAAGCACTAATGAGCTTCTCATGGGCACCTTTCATGGCATTGCAATTCAGGCAGTGTGGGATCACAAGAACGAAGGCAGTTGCACCCTATGGCCACAATTAAACACAAAGAGGAACTCCAAAAAAGTGAGCCACTTGGAGAAATTAGAACCATTGAGAAAAGGGCCACAAAAATGATCAAATTGTTGTTATTTTTGTATTTTAGGAGGGGAAGACAACCAAAAACCTAAGGACACATCACATGAATTGCATAGTTTACAAACAGATCAGGTCATGCAAAACCAATCCTAGGTAGATGTTGGAGGGCACATCTACACTTGCCAATGAGATCGGTGTGGAACTGGCAGAGGAGAAAATAGTTTTAGTATGTGGATGTTTAAATCGCAAGACCTGAAACCAGTCTGAGGCCTGGACAGTGCTGATGCACATTGCAGAAAGTGTCTCAAACTGGTCCCAGGATCTCTGGTCGCCAGCTGCACCTGTACCTTGGGAAGTCGGATCTGGCCACGGTGGTCCACGCTCTTGTTACATCCCAAATAGATTACTGCAACGCACTCTACTTGGGGTTGCCTTTGAAGACTGCTCGGAAACTCCAACTAGTCCAGCGGGAGGCAGCCAGATTGCTCACCGGAGCGGCATACAGGGAGCATACCACCCCCCTATTGTGTCAGCTCCACTGGCTGCCAATCCAATTCCGAGCACAATTCAAAGTGCTGGTTTTGACCTACAAAACCCTATACGGTTCCGGCCCGGTGTATCTGTCTGAACGGATCTCCCTCTACGTCCCACCTCAGAGCTTAAGATCTTCTGGGGAGGCCCTGCTCTCGACCCCGCCTCTATCACAAGTGAGGCTGGCGGGGACGAGGAGCAGGGCCTTCTCGGTGGTGGCCCCTCACCTGTGGAATTCACTCCCCGGGGAGATTAGATTGGCGACTTCCCTCTTGTCATTTAGAAAAAAATTGAAAACTTGGATGTGGGACCAGGCATTTGGATGTTCTGGCAGGTAGAGGAAGGACCTTGATGATGGACAGGAATTGACTGAACGGAATGGATTTATGGAACTCTGAACACTGAGCATGAGATTAGTTTATTGACTGTGTTATGTACTGATGGTTATAACCTGTTAATTGTTGAATTGCTGTTTTGTATGTATGTATATTTGACATAGGCATCGAATTGTGCCTTCTTTGTAAGCCGCCCTGAGTCCCCCCTCGGGGGTGAGAAGGGCGGGGTAGAAGTAATCGAAATAAATAAATAAATAAATAAATATATCTTTGGCTTCACCTCCATGGAGGAATTGGGGTCTTTTGGTCAACTCTCCCCATTGCAATGAGCATGAAGGTCGATCCCTTCATTGGTCTCTTAATGCAATGTGGTTTGACAATTTTTGGTGTGCTGCTCCATTTTAAAGCCTCCATTTCAGAGTATTCTACAACTCTGCTTATAGAATCATAGAATCATAGAGTCCAACGCTCTGCCAAGAAGCAGGAATATTGCATTCAAAGCACCCCCGACAGATGGCCATCCAGCCTCTGTTCAAAAGCTTCCAAAGAAGGTCTCACTCCTGACTGTGAGAGCCGTTCAGCAGTGGAACTCTCTGCCCCGGAGTGTGGTGGAGGCTCCTTCTTTGAAGCTTTTATAAACAGAGGCTGGATGGGCCATCTGTCAGGGGTGATTTGAATGCAATATTCCTGCTTCTTGGCAGGGGTTGGACTGGATGGCCCATGAGGTCTCTTCCAACTCTTGGATTCTAAAAGCTTCCAAAGAAGGAGCCTCACCACACTCCGGGGCAGAGAGTTCCACTGCTGAACGGCTCTCACAGTCAGGAAGTTCTTCCTCATGTTCAGATGGAATCTCCTTTCTTGTAGTTTGAAGCCATTGTTCCGCGTCCTAGTCTCCAGGGCAGCAGAAAACAAGCTTTCTCCCTCCTCCCTGTGGCTTCCTCTCACATATTTATACATGGCTATCATATCTCCTCTCAGCCTTCTCTTCTTCAGGCTAAACATGCCCAGCTCCTTAAGCTGCTCCTCATAGGGCTTGTTCTCCAGACCCTTGATCATTTTAGTCGCCCTCCTCTGGACACATTCTCACATATTTATACATGGCTATCATGTCTCCTCTGAGCCTTCTCTTCTTCAGGCTAAACATGCCCAGGTCCTTAAGCCGTTCTTCATAGGGCTTGTTCTCCAGACCCTTGATCATTTTAATCGCCCTCCTCTGGACACATTCCAGCTTGTCAATATCTCTCTTGAATTGTGGTGCCCAGAATTGGACACAATATTCCAGGTGTGGTCTAACCAAAGCAGAATAGAGGGGTAGCATTACTTCCCTAGACCTAGACACTATGCTCCTATTGATGCAGGCCAAAACCCCATTGGTTTTTTTTGCCGCTACATCACATTGTTGGCTCATGTTTAATTTGGTGTCCATGAGGACTCCAAGATCTTTTTCACACGTACTGCTCTCAAGCCAGGCGTCCCCCATTCTGCCTTCTCTTCTTCAGGCTAAATATGCCCAGCTCTTTAAGCTGCTCCTCATAGGGCTTGTGACTGTGATAAAAACATGCAGTCATGGTACAGCTCTTTCAAAATCTCCTGTGAAGGGCTAATGCAGTCCCCTTCCCCATCCCAAAGACTCTGTCCTACTTGTCTGACACATGAGGAACGCCTCACCTGATGAGAATGATGACGGAGGGCGTCTGGGCCATGGCTCCAATCATGCTGCAGACACACATCACGCAAAGGAATGTCAGGAAGGCTTCTTGGCATCCAGGGCTGGGGCACTTCCCGGGAACGACCGTGGCATTCTCGGCTGGGGCCGAACTGAGGCATGCGCAGCCAGTGAGATTCTGGAAGAGAAAGCCAAGGGTGGCCCAGTGGAGAATCCTCAGTCTCCAGAATGCAGGGAAGGAAAATATGTAGCACAATGCACAGGACGGGTTTGAAGTCAAATTATTATTATTATTATTATTATTATTATTATTATTATTATTATTATTATTTTACTGATACAAAAACACATTATGTCACAGCAAACTATATATATATATATATATGCTGGATTTTGTATCACAAAATCACAAGTCAAACACTTCCCAAGCCTCTAGCGCTGTGTGATGTATTTTCGAATGATGCTTACAGATCCAAGTAAAGTGGCCTATACACATATAGCTTTACGAAAATGAGTTTGATGTGGAAAAAATAAAATAATACTTAGATATTATACCTATTACATTGATCAAATGATGTAACTGACTTAATTAAATTTACTATTTAATTATAAATGAATAACTATAAAATTATTAAAATATTCATAAATTTTAAATTTACATTCTATTTTTTATATATTTAATTATTTATATAAAATTTTTATTAAATTACTAGATTTGTTGATTAAAAATAATTTTTATATTTCATTGGATTTTATAATTAAAGAAATATTCTATTTATTAAGGATATAAAGATTTCCGTAATCAATTTTTGCTTAAAGAATTACTTCATTCATTATTTTATATAATTATTATAAATGTTAATTCAATATATTTAATTAATTAACTTTGTATGTCTTACTCAATAATCCTATTTATAAATAGTCATTAATTCACCCCTTTTATTTCATCCTTTCTTCATAATTTCTACGTATATAAATCTTACCTTAATTCTTTTTCTCTTTGCACCCATGATTCCTTATAAATTTCCTTCTTTATTCCTGCTTTCCCTTTCCCTCCTCTTTTTCCTTCCTCCTCTTCCCTTCCTTCTTCCTTCTTCTTCCTCCTTTCCTTCCTTCTTTCTCCTTCCTTCCTTCCCTCCCCTTCCCTCTTCCCTTTTTTTCTGTATTGTCATTTAGTTTAGCCTTTTTTGGGTTAAGTCCTTTCTGCTGTTTTTTTTTGGGGGGGGGGGGTTATAAGTGATGGTCACTCATTGGTCTGTTAGGGGTATAGTGTCCAAATTTCGTGTCAATTCCTCCAGTGGTTTTTGAGTTATGTTAATCCCACAAATGAACATTAAATTTATATATCTATATATCTCTATCGATCGATCTATCTAATACACAACAAGTTTAGTACACAGCAAACAAGATCACTCTGCTTCTGTTGTATTAGATCACATGTCTGACACTTCCCAAGTGTCTAGGACTGTGTAATATATCGGCAAATAATATGTGGAGATCCGATTAGGGTAGCCATTTGCAGATGATAGGTGGTCGTTTTGTCAGTGCCGATTGTTTTTAAGTGCAGGCCAAGGTCCTTAGGTACTGCATCCAGTGTGCCGATCACCACTGGGACTACTGGCTTGTGCTGGAGTCACTGCAGTTCGACCATTACATCCTTGTATCATGTCAGCTTTTCCAGTTACTCATCATCAATTCTGCTATTATGTTTATTTATATCCCACTTTTTTCTGTCCATACGGAGACTCAAAGTGGCTCACAACAAAAAACTTAAAATACACAAATATACAAGTATTAAAACAATATGAAACATCATTAAAAGCATATAAAATCACCGCAATCCTGGACGATATTAAAAACCTTCTGAGCAGGGGACTCAGGGTATAGCAGTTTGACAACTTTAACTGCCATGGCTCAATGCTATGGAATCCTGGGTGTTGTTGTTCGTTGTAGCACCAGAGCTCTCTTACAGTGAAGGCTAAAGTCCTTGTAAAACTACAACTCCCATGTTTACATGGCAGTGAGCTACAGAAGTAACCTCATCTCAAACAGAAAGCAGGGCAAGCTGAGGGTTCGTTTATAGCAAAGAGTGGGTCCAACCTTTGTAAAGGACCCTTGCTAGTACTTTTCCCCATTGTGCATAAGTGATGCAGAAAGATACGTTAAGAAATCCGTCGTCTACCAATGCTGTTCTTTCGATGCCGCAAAAGCAACAAATTGTGCTTCTATGCAAATGCCATGGAGAGCGCAATACTGAAGTACCCACAGAGGTGCCATAAGAAGAGCCACACTGTGAGTGTTTGCTCATGAGAAGAGAAGCAAAAGCTTTTGAAGATCATCATTGGATCAGGGAAAAGCAACGGCAGATAGGTTGGCATGATGAAGAAGGAATTGGAACGGCTGGGGATAATTGGATCGGTTGAGGTTTGCTGTCTGAGCAGCACAGAAGCACCGCTGTGCTCATTTCTTGCCTTCAATAACTTCCTCTCTTCCCTTGAAATAACATGAAGTGCATTCTCAGAATGCACTGCAATCATGGATGTTGTTCCCTTAAGGATAATGGGATATACAGAAACACTTTAGGTGCTATTATGGGACTTGTCTTGAACTGTTAAATGTTCAGTATTAAAATATAGAGATAGATATGGGCACACACGCAAAATTGGTTACACACTAGACACTCAGTGTGGATAGGGATGTGAAAAGTTGTTATATTGTTGTCATCCATTGCCATATAGGAGCCCCCGGTGGCACAATGTCCGAACGTATCTCCTTCTACATCCCACCTGGCGGGGATGAGGGACAGGGCCTTCTCAGTGGTGGCCCCCCGTCTGTGGAATTCATTCCCGGTGGCACAGTGTCGGAACGTCTCTCCTACGTCCCACCTCGGAGTTTAAGATCATCTGGGGAGGCCCTGCTCTCAACCCCACCTCTGTCTCAAACACGTTTGGTGATGATAAGGGACAGGGCCTTCTCGGTGGTGGCCCCCCACCTGTGGAATTCACTCCTCAGGGAAACTGGCCATCGTCATCCCTCCTCACCTTTAGAAAGAAGGTAAAAACGTGGATGTGGGATCAGGTCTTTGGTTAATTACGTGGAAATGACAATGAAAATGTTGACAATGGCTTGGAAATGGATTATGGATAAGTTAAATGGAGTACTCAGTCATGGAATTTGGCTAGTTGGTGGCCACCAGACTGGTAATAGTTCAGTAGATTGTAAGTATATTGTTTTAATGTTTTTAACTATTATAATTAAGGACAAGAGACCTCTTCCAAAAAATTAGAAACATTGGAGGTAAATTTCAGGCAAAAATTGGTACGATAAGAAACAAAGATGGCAGGGACCTAACAGAAGCTGAAGAGATCAAGAGAAGGTGGCGAGGCTATACAGAAGATCTGTATAGGAAGGATAATAATATCGAGGATAGTTTTGACGGTGTGGTGAATGAATTAGAACCAGACATCCTGAGGAGTGAGGTTGAATGGTCCTTAAGAAGCATTGCTAACAACAAGGCAGCAGGAGACGACGGGATCCCAGCTGAACTGTTTAAAACCTTAAAAGATGATGCTGTCAAGGTGATGCATGCCATATGCCAGCAAATATGGAAAACACAAGAATGGCCATCAGACTGGAAAAAAATCAACTTATATCCCCATACCAAAAAAGGGAAATGCGAAAGACTGCTCCAACTTCCGTACAGTAGCTCTTATTTCTCATGCCAGTAGGGTAATGCTCAAGATCCTGCAAGGAAGACTCCAGCAAGACATGGAGCGAGAGTTGCCAGATGTTCAAGCTGGGTTTAGAAAAGGCAGAGGAACCAGAGACCAGATTGCCAATATCCGCTGGATAATGGAGAAAGGCAGGGAGTTTCAGAAAAACATCTACTTCTGCTTCATTGACTATTCTAAAGCCTTTGACTATGTGGATCATAATAAATTGTGGCACGTTCTTGGAGGGATGGGCATCCCAAGCCCCCTTCCCTCTCTCCTGAGGAATCTGTACAAGGACTAAGTCGCAACTGTCAGAACCACGGAACAACAGACTGGTTCAAGATTGGGAAAGGCGTACAGCAAGGCTGCATACTCTCACCCAACTTTTTTAACTTGTATGCAGAACACATCATGCGATGTGCGGGGCTTGAGGAATGCAAAGCTGGGGTGAAAATTGCTGGAAGAAACATTAACAACCTCAGATATGCAGATGACACCACTCTGATGGCCAAAAGCGAGGAGGAGCTGAGGAGCCTTCTAATCAAGGTGAAAGAAGAAAGCGCAAAAGCCGGGTTGCAGCTAAACATCAAAAAAACCAAGATTATGGCAACAAGAATGATTGACAACTGGAAAATAGAGGGAGAAAATGTGGAGGCCATGACAGACTTTGTATTTCTAGGCGCAAAGATTACTGCAGATGCAGACTGTGGCCAGGAAATCAGAAGACGCTTACTTCTTGGGAGGAGAGCAATGTCCAGTCTCGATAAAATAGTAAAGAGTAGAGACATCAGACTGGCAACAAAGATCCATTGCCTAGTCAAAGCCATGGTATTCCCTGTAGTCACCTACGGATGTGAGAGCTGGACCTTAGGGAAGGCTGAGCGAAGGAAGATCGATGCTTTTGAACTGTGGTGTTGGAGGAAAGTTCTGAGAGTGCCTTGGACTGCGAGAAGATCCAACCAGTCCGTCCTCCAGGAAATAAAGCCCGACTGCTCATTGGAGGGAAGGATACTAGAGACAAAGTTGAAGTACTTTGGCCACATCATGAGGAGACAGCAAAGCCTAGAGAAGACAATGATGCTGGGGAAAGTGGAAGGTAAAAGGAAGAGGGGCCGACCAAGGGCAAGATGGATGGATGGCATCCTTGAAGTGACTGGACTGACCTTGAAGGAGCTGGGGGTGGTGACGGCCGACAGGGAGCTCTGATGGGCTGGTCCATGAGGTCACGAAGAGTCGGAGACGACTGAATGAATGAACAACAACAAAATCGAATTGTTGCCAATTGGAAGCTGCCCTAAGTCCCCCCACCCCCAGGGGTTGAGATGAGCGGGGTAAAAGTGTTCGAAATAAATAAATAAAATAAAATAATTAAACCTTTGTGCTGGTAGCACTGAAGATTGACAAGTCGGAGGTTCAAATCCGGGGAGAGTGTGGATGAGCTCCATCTGTCAACTCCAGCTCCCCA